TAGAATATATGTCAATAGTCTTCAGAAGTACTAGAAATGTACAAAAATCGCATACATCCTTCAAAAATATCTCAAACTAGGAATTTTACTCACTATTTCTATAGATGTCTTTTCTATATATCACGGAGTATCTTAAATTGATGAGTCGTCATTTTAACATTTTCAGGGATTGATTTCAGTCTTGAATATATATAAATAGTCTTCAAGTAGATAAATAGACATAAATAGCATATTTACATCCATTAAGCGATTTTTAAATCATGAGTCTAGGAAATCCGGTGTAATTTTCAAGGGGAAGTAAATCTCAAGTGGGGTTTCCCGCGTCCTTGACCTCTACTCTTGAATTGACCTTGACATTGTCATATTTTGAAGACGGAATAATGATGCCTCGTAGGTGATCAAGCGACTTTTAGAATTTTTGAAAGTTAGGAAACTATACACCAAAATCAACTGAAAATATTTTGCATATTGCCTCTTTAAATTTTCCATGGCACATTAGAAATAGGAATGTGTTCAACTTGGTGCGTATTCGTGTTTTAGTTTGTTGTTAAACGGCTTAAAATAACTGCACGTCTGCACCTTAGTTCAAATTATTTTGGAGGTTTCAGTGGAAAAGTTTTTGTAGCAAGAAACTAGCTGTCCTGATGAGGATTGTATATCTGAAACATGTTAGCAGTATGAGATGAGCTCTAGTCAATTAGCTAACATTAAGTCCTATATTAGAAAGTTAACCTCCATTTCTAAAACAAGCTGTCCTGATGAGGATTGTGTATCTGAAACATGTCAGCAGTATGAGATGAGCTCTAGTCAATTAGCTAACATTAAGACCTATATTAGAAAGTTAACCTCCATTTCTAAAACTAGCTGTCCTGATGAGGGTTGTGTATCTAAAACACATGTTGGTAGCATGAGATGAGCTCTAGTCAGTAAGCTAACATTAAGTTAACCTCTACTTCTAAAACTAGCTGTTCTGATGAGGATTGTGTATCAGAAACATGTCAGTAACATGAGACAAACTCTAACCAATTTACATACAGAGAAGTAAAATTAATGAAACCAATTTAAACATGGCAGAAATGTACTCCTGATAACCCTTTTTTACCTCCTTTTTTAAAGAGTTGCATTAACAACTGATAACCTTTTTTCACCTTCTATTTAAAGATGGGTTTCCTTATTTTTCAGTGTCAAATTAAGCGAACTTTTTCGTTAATTGGTGTTTCTAATGAATTATCATGTATTCTTAATCATATCATTATGTTCTTATTGCATATAATTAAAGATGGGTTTCCTTATTTTTTAGTGTCAAATTAAGCAAACTATTTGATTAATTGGTGTTTCTAATGAATTATCATGTATTCTTAATCATATCATTATGTTCTTATTGCATATAATTAAAGATGGGTTTCCTTATATTTTAGTGTCAAATTAAGCAAACTATTTGATTAATTGGTGTTTTTAATGAATTATCATGTATTCTTAATCATATCATTATGTTCTTATTACATATAATTAAGAGTTTTAACCAATCATAAATGTTCATGTATGTCCAGTCTGGATAAAAAAAAGACTTTTTGACCTTTCTTGATTGGTCACTCATTGGAATTCTGCTGGTAATTCTCTTCTAATTTAGCTAATTATGAATTAATTATGGACATGTGAGACAAACTGATATTTTTCCAAGTCATTAGAACACCTCTACTTTCTATTCATATTAGTATTTTCATAAATGAAATAAGGGAACCCATCTTTAAGACGGTTTGCTGATTAAGAAATAAATGAAACTAAGGGAAGCCATCTTTAAAAGAGTGTAAAATATTAAGAATGTTAATATTTGAAAGTGAGAAATTAGCTTTGTTTGGAAATTAAGGTTATTAAAACTGCTGTTGGAGTTATCTTGATTTGGAAATTCTCGCTGCGAGGCCGTGGACACGAATATTGGTTTGGTCAGATATAGATTGTTTTGGTGTTTTTTTGTTAACGATGGAGGCGTTTGTATGAATTATTACAT